GGACCTTCTTAAAGAAGAGGGAAAGACAAATGGACATATGTATGGAAAAGATAGTTTCGAATTCTGATTTATACCATACTAAAAAAATTAATTCCACATAAATTGAAGATCTAAATGTAAAAAGAAAATAATAAAAATTTTAGGGAAAAAGAGACTACTGTCATGACCATGAGTTATACAAGGATATTTTAAATAGGATATAAAATGAAAAAAATGTAAACTGGATTATATTCAATTTAAAATCTGCTTACCAAAACTAAAACAAAACAAAACAACCACTACTAAAAATAAAAAAAGAAACCACAGAATGGACGAAGATACTTGCAATACAAGTATCTGCAAAGGAATAGAATATTCTAATAATTACCATGTCTATAAGGAGGAAACAATTATTTAAAGAGAAAACAGGAAAAATATCTGAATAAATACTTAAGAGGGAATATTGAAATGGTACATAAAAATATGAAGATATTCAACTGCATTAGTTATCAAGGAAATGCAAATTTAAGTCAATGTATAAAGTCTATAAACACTGAAATAAAAAATGCCAAATTTTGGCAAAGATATGCAGCAAATTAAAGGTTTTATACTGTACAGTATAAACTGGTAGCATCACTTTGAGAATTGTTGGGCAGTATCCATAAAAGCTGAACATAACCATGCCTCCCATCCAACAGTTTCATTTTCTTCCAGATATTCAAGAGAGATGCACACACAAGTGCACCCAGAGCACAGACAAGTCTGTTTATGCCAACACTGCTCATAACATCCCAACAATGAAAACTGCCAAATGTCCACCAACAGCAGAATGGATAAATAAATTACAGTGTTTATACAAAGGAACACTATCCAGAATGAGAATGAACAAATTACATCCACAAGCAACAACATGGAAAAATTATACAAACACAACAAGCCAGACATAAAAGAGTAATTTCACTGTAATTTCAGTCATATAAAGTTCAAAAACAGATAAAATTAATTTGTTATTAGAAATCAGGAGAGTGTCTATCCTTGGCAAAGAGAGAGCAGTTATGGGGTGTTTTAAGTGAAATGAATTTAGGAAATATGCATTATACGAGTTACCTTTGCATTTATTAATATGATCATTATGGTTTTCAAGTGGAATAAATTAATAACAGAATAGTTAAGACACAAGATTATTATGAAAGACATCCATTCAGTTCTGGCTGCTAATATTTCCTAAAGTCTTAATAAATGCACGTCTAAATTTTCAAACTTTATCATTCTTTCTGAAGCTTTAATTCAATGCTGTCATTCATGCATGTCATGACTGAGATACTTAAAAAAGTAAGATTGCCTTGAGATAAATCAAACAAGGCCTGATCAAAAAATAAGGTGTGTATTTAAATTTTAAAAAGTATTACAGTGTAAGACACATTGCTATGGAAACCTCCTCCCCCACAAAATACTGCCCCGTGCTTTAAACACACACTTTCTGAAGCAATTCTAGAAGTCCTCTTTCCTGACTGTCTTACAAGGTGTGATAAAAATACAGCGACTGGACTGCCCAGTGCATCCAGTGGAAGGGTAGGCTTGTAAGAAATTATGATTTGCTCTCAGCCACCTTATTCATTGGATCTGGTACAATGTGATTTCCGGACCTTACACAAAGTCAAAATGATCATGCAAAGTAAATGTTTTGAATGAATTCAGGACATCAAGGTAGCCAAGAGAGCATAAAGAAAGACATTCGAGAATACAGACTTCCACAGCTGTTTCAGAAAGTGGCCAAAATGATGGGATACACTGTACCCTGTGCAGTTCTCAGAGTTTCCTAAGAGGAGGACAGGAGAGGATGCAGAAATAAGGATAAGAGACAGGAAGCTGAGGTCAGGTGGAGATATCTCTCTGGCTGGGAGGAAAGGGGCGCATTTATTTACACATTTAGCAGATTAACGTGATGGGACACCTCAGTGCTGAGCCATCTGCCTGCACGGTAACCTAAAGGCTTGGTGTCTTCTGGACTGGAGCAGCTTGTTCACATGGATTACCTGGGCACTGCTTGTTCTTCAGCAGGCCTCATGCCAGCCCGCCAGGTGGGTCAATCTCCAGCTTCAACCCTTCCCACAGAGATAAGTGGGTTGGAAGGGAGGGGGAGCATTCTGAAGGAGACCAATGGCCATACGTCTTTTACTGTACTACTATTTAAAAAATTTAAACACTGTATTTGTCACCACACAGTTTTCCTATCAACCTTTTATCTCACCAGGTCAACTCTGATCACCTAAGAGTGCTTTTACTGAAGTTCAGTGGCTGGAACCCCGTATCACTACGTCTTTTAGAATCATCAACACGTACAGCACGTGTATATAAAATAGGCAAACACCACGAACGAACTCATAGAATTGTTCTAAGGATTCAGTGAGATAATACATGCTGAATATACATCATCCAGGAGCACAGCCACTGCTCAGTAGATGCCAGCATGTGTATTAATGCTTTTAATTTATTATTAGTAGCACTCTCATTGCTTATTAAATCACTTATGATTTCTGCAATCAACCACAGACATTCTGAATCTGAATAACTTGTTGGACACAGAACTCTGCATGTTAATTAGCATTTGTGGGGATTTTTTTTTTGCATACTCAAATTTTTTAAATTTTTTTTAATCTTTTTCATTTTTTATTGGTACCGGGGATCGAACTCACGACCGCCTGCTTGCAAGGCAGGTGCTTATGCCGCTGAGCTAAATCCCCAGCCCCTTCATACTCAAATTTGATAACTACTATCTGGAGATAGGGCTGTCTTCTTATTCCTCAGCTTGCATACAAAGGTCTGCACATCAGTGTTGATTGACTGGCTGATTAACACATAATAGTGTCAGACTAAACCATTAAGAGTCTGTATGTAATGTGTTACAATTTGTGCAGAAAAAGATAATATTTTTACATTTGACTCAAGCAAAACATGAAAGTAGTGTTGTTTAATAGTATCAAAAATCAGTTCAGCCTCTATCATTTAAACTCCTCGTCACATGAAAATATTTGAGTCCTCACACATAACCTATTTCACATAACCTGTTTTCCCCCTTAAAACAACTCAGCCCATTTGGGATTTTATTGCTTCCTTTTTCACTTAGAGGATCCAGAAAGCCTAGACATGTGCTCATAGAGAGGATAAATACCGATATTCTTTGGGCTCCACAGTATTAGTATTAAGCCTGGAGCCAGGTTTCAATAACCACTTTCTTTTTTACATCTGTGTTCATTTAAAGGGAAGTTCCAGCAATTTGTCTAAAAGGGAAACTACAAGTGAAATGTCTTCAGCTGTTTAATTCAAATAGAAATTTAAATGAAATCACAGTAGCTATTTGAACTTTTTGGCTGTAAAATAGTTGTGCAACTTGCTGTGCTGAGTAGACTATTTTAATAAGAAAAGAAATCTTACCATTAAATGTGTGATCACAGAAGACTCAATCTTTGAACAAAAATAAAACATAAGAATTATTTCCAGCTTAGTTTTGTTTCATCTTACTGAGTGATATAAAGACTAAAAGATAAAAATTAGATATTTCATGGGTGTCAGATGTTTCAGAACTCAATTTTCTGGTTTGGTGAATACACTTGTTTGACTATACGCTGTACTGTGGATAACTAAATTCACATTTATTCAGTTACAAATTTTCGGCTACCATTGCAAATCTTATTTCAATAAATTAGTTGAAGAGGTCTACTGAGACTTTATAACACATTTATTTTATGAGCCAAATATAAGGTGGTTGAGATTAGGCATGAAGAGCTTGACCTCCAGGCCACCAGATGGACTTTTTATGTTCCAGCCAACAATCTGTTCCTTTATAATCGAATACCCTTGACTATAAGATGCCACATTTAACTTTCAAGATCAAGTGAGACCTCTCTCTTTGGCCTCTCTCTGTCTGGATAAGGTACTTTTTCTTTTTTCTATTTTTTTTTTTCTTTTGGCAGTGATGCTAAATTTGAGTTTGCAAGCAGTGGAAATTATGCTGTAAGCAAAAGTCTCGGCAAGACAGAGATTCCTACAAAATACTGTAGTCTTTACTTTTCCAAAGGATGCTGGCTTCTCTTGCGAGATCCAATTCCAAGAACAACTTCACTGAACCAAAGGTTCCCTGTCCTGCAACTGAAATCACAAGGTCCACAGAATGCAGCTGCTCTTCTTCCTCTGTCTAGGTGCAACTTGACGCCAGCCCTCGGGCTTTATCTTCCATCCAGACTAAACTGGGACACCAAGTCAGTTACAGCCGCCTATTTTCTGATAGGCTAGTGTAAAAATATGAACATGGGTGAATCACTTAAACAGAAGACTTAGCTAGTTAGCAAAGTGATGGCAATATTAAAAACAATTCCCTTAGGCATCCAGATAATCTGAGTTTTGCCAGTTGCGCAGAACATTTCCAAACAAGAGAGGCACAGTAAACTTCAGAGTAAGTCTAACTCCTGCTCAGTATTCCCACGGAATTTCCCTGCACTTTGAGTAGGTTTCACTAATTAAGTCTGCCCTCATTCATGATACCCTAAGAGTAAATTATCCATCGAAGACCTACAGTGTCCTACACACCATGGTCACATTTTACATTATCTTCCATCTCCGTTCAAGACCCTTTCTCTCTGAGATGACCCAGGGCTTTGATTATCCAATTCTAAACTTAACAACAATCCAAGAGTTGCAGAAAAGCCACACCTAAAACAAAATCTGAGTGTGCTCAGGAGTCAGAATAGATTCGCAATAGGAGACTTCTTGAGCTCTCTGGTTGGTGGATCTTAACAGGTCCAGACTTCATTCAAAAGCTCACAGCTGAATTGGAGCATAAAACAAAACTAGATGAGTAGAAACTACATTGTCAAGTCACTAACGAAGCATTCACTTAATAACTCAGCCCCATACATCATTCATTCATTCACTAGTCTTTTCTTTTACTCCCTTAAAACAGGAGCTGGATTGTAATTAAAAGATTCCTTCAAGCCAAAAATAGAAGAAACAGTAACACTTACTTTCCAGTAATAAACTGACTCCTGGATGGTGTGCAAATGGGCTGGACATAGTAGTTCTCCAGTTTAACCCCTTCTGCGGCGAGCTTGTCCAGAGTGGGCGTCCTTATCTCAGAGCCGTGATAGCCCACATCTCTGAAACCCTGATCATCCGCTAGAATAAAGATGAGGTGCGGCTGCGAGGGCCCGGGTCTCTCCGAAGCTTGAGCTCGCCAGGACCCTTGCTCTCCCTCCAAGCCCTGGCCCCAGGACAGGTAACCGTAGGCGAGGAGGCTCAGGACCCAGAACCCCGCCAGGGCACCCATAGCTAGCACTCTCCCAGGCCAACCCCGGGCCCGCGCAGGGGGCGGAGGCGGGGGCCCCGCGGGGTCCCGGGCGGCCATCCACGCGGGTCTGCGCGGAGCCCCGCGCGCACATGCACGCGGAGGGCTGGTCGGGGCAAGGCGGGCGCCCCCGGGAGGGCAGGCGTGGCCGGGCCGGGCGCCGCTGAGTCCGGTCTCCGTCCGCCTCGGCGATCCGACCTGTGGCCGCCCGCAGCGGGGAAGCAGAGGGGGCGCTCTCCTCGCTCGGGCTCACTCCGCCCTTCTCGCCGCCGGAGCAGCTTCGACCGACCCACAAAAGTTAGTCCGTCCGCCCGGGAGTTCCCGACGGAAATAAAAGGCAAGCGCGGCGGCGGGTGCGGGCGGCGGCTCGGTGACCCCCCGGCGGGCGCCTCCTCCGCGTCTCCGGGACCCCGGTGAGTGCCAGGCGCGCGCCGGCCCGGGCTCCCTCCGGGCGCTGAGTGAGCGCAAAGCTTTCCTGAGCGCTTCCTCCCGCCGAGCACCTAGCGGCGAGTCCCGTCCCGGCAGCCGGGGCGCGGCGGGCCGGCCGGGGAGGTCCGCGGCTGCGCCCCGCCGTGCGCCCCGCCGAGGGAGGCGCAGCCCGCCGTGCGCTCGGCCTCCGCTCTGCGATCTGGGCGCTGCGCTCCCCGCTCCAGCTCCCCCGGGAAGAGGGCAGGGCGCGGGTTCCGGCTCCGAGCGGCCCCGGGTTGTCAGGGCGGAGGCTGGGCCGCGGGGAGGCCCAGGAATAAACTGACTCCTGGATGTGCGCAGCCCGAGGATCGCCACGCCGAGAGGGGCTGAGAGGGGCCCGGGTCGTCGCGGAGCTGGAGACCAAGTGTCCTAAGTGTCCTCTCGCCCATCCCGAAACTTTTCCTGGATCCTAGAAAGAGTGAGAGAGGGAGACCAGGACCATAAGAAATCGCGTAGCATACGTTTACCTGCCTCCTCTGCTGCCTGAACCCCTCCCCATTTTCCTACTGCCTTTCTGTTCATATTATTATTATTATTATTATTATTATTATTATTATTATTATAAAGTCACAGCCTCAACTGTTAGAGTTGAATCACTTTCTCCAACACCGGGCCGTCACAGCCTGACTTACTCATTAGAGTCTTCCTAGGGAAAGATTAAAACCACCTGCGCCTGCTTCCTCTCTTTAGACTGACCCTCGGGGGTCTCCAAGCCAAGAGCTCAGACACCTCGCCCTCAAAACCCCGGAGCTGGCGGGGTCCCTCCCCTGAAGAAACCACCACTTCCTAGCCAGCAATTTGGGGAACCTCATCTTTTCGCATTTATCTTCCTCCTTTCCTCCCTCCTTTCCTTTTCTCCTTCCTTCTTGCTTCCTTCTTTCCTTCCTCCCGCCCACGCCCTCCCAGCCTCTCTTCCTTCTCTTCTTTCCCTTCCTTTTCATTTTCCTGCCTTTCCCCACCTTCCTCCAGCCCCCCCCCATAAACTGTCCTGAAAGCTTGTTGATTGAGAAGATCCACCTGTTTTTACTAGAATCGTACAGTTAGAGTTTTAAAACTGCTAAAAACACAAGATTCGGATTTATGGCATCTGTAGAAGAAATGATCAATGCCAGGTCACTGAGACATCCTGTTCTTCCCTCCAGAGTTTGCAAAGTGTTTATCAAACGCCTGCCATGGGTCCCATAACATGTCAGACTCCTTCAGCGGACTGAAGCATAAATCTAGGTTTTGCTGAGAGGTTGGTTTTAATTCTCTCCCTTTGGTAAAGTGCCTGTTGAGCCCCTAGGCAAGCTGTGTACCCTGGGCACGTTTTTAGAAGACGGGACGGTGCTCCAAAAAGGATTCATTTTGCTAACACATGTGGTCCTCCTGTTTTCCGCTTTTCCTCAAAGCATTCTGGTTGGTAAGAGGAGACAGGGTGAGTTTCAGATGTATTTAAAGTGTAAGTTTGTCAATTTTGTCAGCTTAAACTTCTAAATATAGAATGAGAGCCCTGGGTGTTTGGGAACTTAAAGAGTCCTGAGATGTTGGCCAACAGGCTTGGCCCAAGGGAGATGCTTCAGTAGAAAATACACACTGATCAAGCCAGCTACTTTTTTTTTTTTTTTAACTTTTTTTATCGGTACCGGGGATCAAACTCACACGCCTGCTTCCAAAGCAGGTGCTTATGCCACTGAGCTAAAACCCCAGCCCCCAATCCAGCTACTTTTAATTAGGAAATGGTCAGTGAGTGCCATAGCACAGTAAGTGTTCACATTGCTGCTTAGGAAAGATATTTCCAGTTTAGATTTCAAGCAGGAGTCTAAAAAGTCAACATTTATGGAATATTTACCATGTGCTAAGCATGATGTTCAGTATACACTCATGCACAGCCACTCTTGTAGATATGCTTTGTAGTATTTATGGAATACTTGATATATTTACTTCCTTTTCTTCTCCGCCAACTTTTTCCTACATTTGCAGGGTCAGTGATAAGGCTGCCAAACAATGCTGAACTGTACCCAACCTGCCCTCAGCTACCGTAGAACCTACCCAGTGGTGGGAAGAAATACACCGATTACTTAGAAACTCCAGTGTGTACTGTGAGATGCCTGTTTTGGAAACAAAGAGCACAGTTCAAAAATGTTTTAAAACAAAAGGTCCTCATTTGAAAGGTGTCTACCTCAGTGGATGAGGGTAGGTCAGGAAAACAACCTTTCAAGTGAGGGAATGTTCTTTTGTTTGCTAACTTTTAGCCAAAATTTAGACTTCGAAATTTATCTGACTTCAAGGCTCCGGCTTTTCAAAAGACACTGTTCCTACAATTGGGCTTGAAAATCATTTTCAGCTATAAAGCATAGAGCAAACACAGCTGGACACGTGGAATCTATGCCACAGGAGGCTGCAGCTCCTCCATGCAGAGCACAGAAGAGCAGAACTCTGGACTAAGAAGCTGTTTCTGGGAGTAAACAAGACCAACGAGAGTGGAGCCCAACAGCTCTTTATTCTTTGTTAAAAGCGCCAAGAAATGAGAATGATTGTGCTGGAGGAGTGGACCAAATGATACTACTCAAAAAAGGAAAGTCAAGGTCAGATGGGGTTTGAGTATGGAAAGGCATAGTTGTTTCAATGTCCACAAGAACTCTACAGTTATGAACCGCGAGGCTGTCGAGAGTCCTGTATTTACTGCATATTTGCTGAGATTTTGAGTACATAAACTTTCCATTTTTCATGATAGATTTGGAACTCAAGCACGGTAGGCAAGAGTTTTACTGTCCTTATGAAGTCTCAAAGTGCCTCTATAATTTAGATATACGCAAATCAGCATTTTGGTGTGCAGGTTTCAGCTGCTTCTGCAGAATCTCATTTTAGGTGGATTTGAGCTGAAATTACAAACAAGTTCTTCTAATTTGGAATGGCAAAATAAAAATTAAAGAAAATATTTGATTCGGGAAAAAAGAAGGAAAATAGAATTGCCTACAGATGAAATCAGAGTGGACTGGGTCTTCATGGAGGCTTCACTGGGAGGTGAGACTTGAAAGGATTTTTGCCCCAGATGGGACACTGTAGCCGGTGGGAGGCTGGGAGGGGAACCACGGGGCTCTATCTTGAGGTCACCTTCCCCGCCCCTAGCAATTTACCTGTGGCACAGAATGAATACCAATGGGCTACCTGTGCATCCCTAATGCCCCTTAGGCACCACCCCAAACCTAAGCTACACATATGCCCCCACTCCACATGTCTGGTGGAGAGAATGCCAGACCCCCTGGCGGGTCATGAAGTCTCTCCACATTCTTAAAATAAAGGCCGTTTTTATTTCAAACTTTTTAGCTTTTTGGCCACACCGAAAATTCTATCAGGTGGTTCCCTTCCATGCCAAAAATTCTGTCAAGACTGAAAATTTATTCCTTGAAATTTATTGTCATTTGGGAAGAAGTTAGAGGATGGACACTTCAGGTAAAAGAAGAGAAGACCAGGTGAAGACACATTGGATTGGAGAAGTATGGGGAAAATCCTAAGAAGTTTGGGTAAAATCAGATATTGAAGGAATTTGCAATGACAGGACGATCTAGAACTTGATTCTGGGGGTATTAGAAGTAAAGAAGCCCTTCAAGTAGGAGGTAGCATGCAATATTCCATCGAGGTCATTTCTGAGATAGATTTATAAGGATAGATGCGGCAAATGGGCCACTCAGTCTCCTGAAGTTTGAAGAGTTGCTATTTTACTAAAAGAGGACTGAATCTAATGAAATATTCTGATTTTAAAAAGGCATAATGAACGTACAAAATAAGAAATCCTAGGACATTTTAAAGGAGAGATTTGAGGAAGTAAACACAGAAAAGGAAAGAATAGAGTGATTTGGGGGATTTTTCTGGTTACCACCAGAAAGCAATGATCTGAATAGAGGACCAAATGGTAGACTGAGGCTCAGACTTAGGGTGCCCAGTGGAGTAGAGTAGAGTTAAAAAGTATGAGGAGCCTACCAGAAAATGGAAAAGCTGAGAAAATCATAGACAGGTAGTAAAATGCATAGTTGAACAATATTGCTTTGAAATATCCACGTTAAATCTCACTATAAAAGGAAATTGCCCACAGCCCTGCAGAGTGCCAGACCCCAGAGGGCTCTGGGCAGAATTGCCTTAGCTTCTGAACTGTACACCTGGAAGTGTTTTTAAAGGAGACTAGGAAGACAGCATGTCTGCTCTGCTACTGCCCTTTATTCTCTAGGCATTTATTTTCAACTAAACAGATACTTAGGTGTTTAAAAGATGGCGGATTTATAAATGTAGGTTTGAAAAATGAGAAAACAGTTCTGGGATTCACGAATACCAAAATGATTTTTAAATTAATTGCTGCTTGGTTTATGAGTACATTAAACACTTAAAAAAGAAAGAAAATATTACCAAGTGTCAATTAGCACGCATCTAAAATGGGTGTTTGCTGTTATATGTATTGTGATATGTAAGAAACTCTTTATGAGGCCATGGAAATATTCAGTCACCTTGATCCATGAAATAATTGTAAGCAACATGAACTTTCTGGATCAGACCATGTAGGATGATTTAGTAATTATTAACTTCAGTAGCTTCCTGTTTTGAGTGAAGTTTGTTGGGCACAAACTGTAATAATTTGTAAAGAAAAAATGATATGGGAGACACTACAGTTTCCTATATATGGAGCCACCCAAAAGTGTAAGTTTGTTTTTACATTAGAAACTCAGAATATCTAAACTGTTAAAGGAAATATTGTTCTTTCATGCAACAACCATTTTTACTGGAAACCTAACTTTTAAACAAAAAATTTAGAGTAAGAAAATTGATATTCTATATAAGTTTATAATGTTTCCACTGCTTAAATTGTAAATAAAATTCTGTACTACTTACATACAATTTTCAGTTTAGAAAAATCAATTTCTAAACCTGACTGTCCATCAGAGTGCTTCAAGGATTTTTATTTTAAGGAAAGTCTTAGCTCCACTCAAAATGTCAGGAAAAATATCCTCAGTCTGGGAATATTTATGTTACAAAAAACAGGTGAGTCTATGTGTATTAGGGTTTTAAAAGTATTTTAACTGATTTAAAAATCTAAAGCATCAAAGAACATTCAGTGGGATTATTTAACCTATTGGGTTGGTGCCATTCACCAAACACAATACAGTAAACATTGCTGGAAAACAACAGGATTAAGTCTAGAATTTGTTAAAGATAAGCTTAGTGAGGGCTCATGACTATCACATTATCCCCCCCCCCCCATGTTTGCAAATTCAAAGTATGGTCATGCCATCAGGTCTGAGAGAGAAGAGAGATTTAAGACCTGTGGGTTAGGGTCTAATGTAAAAATGTATACAGGCATTGCAAGATCCAGCTAAATCAAAGAAGACTAGCAGATCAACTATCTCTTGCATCTAGCTTCTCTACAGTGATGTCTTTCCTCAGGATTCCTGACATTCTGCCAGAGGCATGGGACAGTGGCAGGAGGTATTGACTTTTTGAGATTGAAAAGGACTTGTGTTTAGTCTCAATGGGGCTAGAGAGATGTGAAATCCAAGATCACGGCTAATCAGAGAGAGTAAGTGAGTGATGTGGCTTTAAGGGAGTAGTGAAAAGTTGTATGAATATTTAAGGGGTTCAGTCATAAAATCCACAGAAGTCGGTGACTGGAGAATAAGGAGTGAGGAATAAATGATTATATGTAATGTCTGATTTGGGCCACTGAATATGTAGTATTTCAATTTATAATGGTAGACGTTACGAAGAGACTAAAAGGTTTTGAGAATAAATGGAAACAATTACTACGCTACTGTTGAAGCTGGACTCCAGCAGAATGCAGTAAGTAGGTAGATACGTGGGTCTGACCTCAGGGGCGGGCAGGATGGGAAATTTCACCAGCATCCAATGGGCTGAGTAGAATTCTCCAGGGTGAGGTGGAGAATGAGGAGAGTGACAGAGGTCTAGGACAAAACTCTTTAGAGATAAGGAAGATGAAATGGGTACAAGGCTACTAAGAAGAAATGAGAGAAATGTAACTAAGCATTATTAAATAGTGGTATGGTGCTACTACTATGCTAAGTGAGATTTATATGAAGTATTTTAGAAATCTTCACAACTACACTATGAAAGTAGATGCATGAGGAATAAAGGTGATACAAAGGAGTTGGAAGCAAGAAATAAATATCAAGAGAGCATAACATATCATATGTACAATACAAGGATGAAAAAAAAATTAAAAAGCAGAACACCAGGAGGTAGAGGAGGTTGACAGAGCCCAGAGTGCAATGAAAGTCAACACCTAAAGGCATAACACAAATAACAGTGTATAGGGATAAAGTCTCTGGGATTTGTTAATGCTTTCTTTGCTTATCTGTGAGTACAGGATGGTAGAGTTCCAAAGTATTGAAATATTTATGAATGAAGTGGCTCAATAAAGAAAATAGGGCTTTGACTCAGAATCTATAAAAAGAGTTGGTAATCAACAAATAATATAAATGATAGAATAGTTCAATCCCTGCCCATCCCCAGAGTGATTATTAAGTTAGACATGTGTAGAATATTTTAAAATTATATGTTTTTGGTGGGAGATGGAAACAATTGAATACATGAACTTGAATAAACTTTTTTTTTTCAAAACAAAGGACTAAATATTATAAAGGTGGATAGAGGTATAGATCTGGGAACCACACTGCATATTTGCTAGCTAATAAGTCATTAACTTTTCTTGTCTCACTTTTCTGTCTGTAAAATGGAAATAATAATCACCTACTTCATAGTATGGCGTACCTGATTAGTTGTGGACAAACAGTGGTGTTTAACAAATTAACCCAAAACTCAAGAGTTTAAATAACAATAAAAATTCTTATAAATTTGAGCAATGGGCCAGATCTGCTCCAAATATTTCCCATGTCCTCCTGGGATTGTGAAATAGACACACAGCATAGCAACTGCTGAAGCACAAAAGAAAAAAACTTAAACAAAGAAGTACTACATACCAGGATACAGATCACCTGCTTACCTCCAATTCACCAATCCACACCAAGCCCAAAGTCAAGGAGTAAGATACACAAAGAGGGTCCATATCAAAGCTGTAGGTGCAGAAAGAGGTGAAGAACTAGGGGTGATAATTGAGTCTACCATAATTTTTTTGAGAATTACATGTGCTAATGTTTGATAAGCACATAAAAGAATTCTGGGTCCTTTTTAAGTCCTTTTAACTTTTTGTTTTGCTTTGTAGTGTTGAGAATTAAAAACCCAAGGTTTTGTGCATGGTAGACAATCATTCTGTCACTGAGGTACACCCCTAGCCCTAATGGTTTTTTACATTTTCCATTCATATTATAATTTTCCACATTAATTGTAGTTTAATGTCACTCCAATAAAAACTTCAATCCAGTAATGATAATTCAGAACTCAATGTAGTCTCAAAAAGAAAAGCAGTGAATCCAGAGAGCTTTGCTGCCTGAAGAGGTGGGTTTCTACACACCATCCGAACCCTGCGAGAGTTTGAGCTCCTTGCTCGCGGTGGTCAGAGACCTGCCCGGCTTGCAGCCACACTGGACAGGGCTCTGCAGGTTTCAGCCCTGCCTGGGCCGCTCCTAGTGACCTTCTTTCAATCTGAGGAGCTTCACTGCCTGAGGAGGTGGGTTCCTGCATACCATCCAAGCCCTGGGAGAATTTGAGATCATTGCTCCCAGTGGTCAGGGACTCACCCCTCTTGCAGCCACACTAGCTTGGGCTCTGTGGGTTTCAGGCCTTCCCATGTCACACCCTTCTTTCAATCTGGGGAGCTGCACTGCCAGAGGAGTCCCAAGAGCCCAGGACATAGGAGACGATTTCCAACATGCCCAGGGAAAGCTTTGGAACAACACTTGAAACACGGAAATATAGGTAAATGACAAAATGAAAGACCAAAATGCAATCTCAAACATCCAGCCCATCCCAAGAAAGCCTAGAAGCCATGTACATAGAAGAAAATATATACCATACACCTGAAATACCTGAAATGATAGTAACTGAAATAAAGAAGCAATTCTGGGAAGCTTTAGAGAAATTCAAATTATAAATAATTGCCCAGGTAAAAGAAGAAATGATAAAAGTAATGAAAGAGATGCTGAACACATATAAAGAAGACACAGCTAAAAAAAAAAAATTAGAGGAACAAAACAAAAAGATAGAATCCCTGGGTGAACAATATAAGAAACAAACAGAATACATAAAGCAGATTCAAAGACATATACAGGAAATCAAAAATTCCATTGCAAGTTGTCAAAACCACCTCAACAAAAGTGAAGATAGAATTTCAGACCTTGAAGACAAGACTGAAGCCAGTGAATAGGAAAGGAAAGATCTCTTAAAAATAATAAGGAATCAGTAAATAACAATTCAACAGCTACAAGATGATGCAAAGAAAAACAACATAAGATTGATAGGAATAAATGAAAAACAAGGGGACAACACAAATGATATCAAGAGGCTATTTAGAGAAGTAATAGCTGAAAACTTCCCAAACATGAGAATGGAAACTGATACTAGGATCAGTGAAGCATATAGAACTCCAAATAGCCATAACCAAAATAAAATTATACCCAGACATATAATAATCACCATGCCAGAAATCCAACATGAGAATAGAATATTAAAAGCTATTAGAGAGAAGAGATAGATCATAAGGAAAGCCTAACAGAATCACAGCAGACTTCTCAACACAAACAATGAAGTCAAGAAGAGCATTAAGTGAAGTATTTCAGATCCTAAAGGAAAATGATTTCCAACCTAGACTAATGTACTCCGCAAAGCTGTCCTTCAAAATGAATGGAGAAATAAGAAACTTTAATGACAAAGAACAGCTCAAGAACTTCATGGTCACCAAGCCAACCCTGCGAAGAATACTGAAAGACAGTTTAAACACACATAGGAAAAAAACCACTAAGCAAGGCAGACAAACAAAATGGAAACAAAGATGCAATGGCAGACAGATAACAGGTCAACAATAAACCAATATATAACAGTTACAATCATTAATGTAAGTGGTCTCAATTCAGCAATTAAAAGACACAGACTGGCATAATAGATCAAGAAACAATATCCAACCATATGCTGTCTACAAGAAACCCATCTAACCTAAAAGGAAACTCACAGACTGAGAGTCAAAGGATGGAAAACAATACTTCATGCAACAGGAACCAAAAAAAAGTAGGCATAGCTATTCTGTTTGCAGACAATGTGAACTTTAAACCAAGAATGATCAGAAGACATAAAGAAGATCACTATATACTGGTTAGTTATTGGAAATCCAAAAATTGAGTTCAGTCATCCAAGTATTGTAATCCTCTTTCTAGTTTTCCTCTCAATCCAAAAAGTTATATTTGTAATCCCATTGAGACGTTATTGGAATTCCAGCTGGTCAGTTCCAATCTACCACCACCAACGAAACCCACGGCTCGAGTAAAAACACCAATACATATTCCAAGTTAAGGGCAGCCAAAGGGACCCAAGTCTATTTCCCATGAGGACATGTGAACAAAGGCCACCTCCTAGGCCTCTCCCAGCATTTATTATCTTGTGAAGAGAAGGGAGGGGTCGCTCAGGGCTGAGTGATAGTCAGGATGTGGGGGATTGCTGAGTAACCTGAGCTGGCTGGCCAGGTGCAAGGAAGGCATCTCTGTAATTTGCAGAGATAAAGACATGCAGAAGAATCAATTTACACAACCTGATTAAGGTAGCAGGGGAAATGTTTTGGGGGGCTGTTGCTTCAGTTTTGATATGCAAACTCTTGTGCCCTGGGGAGTCATAGCCTCTTGTCTTGAGGCTCCTTCCTAGTTGACATCCCTGGAGTCTGCTCTGGGTCTTGCCAGCTCAATCCTTTAATGTGGAGAGTATCATGTGAGGAAACAGGGCTGTCTGATGGCCAGACTTTGCATATTAGCACCTCAGCTAGCTTTATTTGCAATGCTTAGAGCCAGTTGAGAGAAGGAAATATCCTAGCCAGCTTTCCACATATCAGTATAAGGAAATGAGTCCCCAAGTAATCAAAGTCACAGCAATTATTTTGGATCCAAAGGGAGTCACCAGAGTTGTTGCTCACATCTGTGATGGCTGCATGTTAGCACCTGGGCTAGCCTTGTTTGCCATGCTCAGAGTTAATTGAAGAAAAGGAAATACCCTAGTCATCTTTTTACTTAACAGTATAAGGAAATGAGTCTCCAAATATTCAAAGTCACAGTAATTGTTTTGGATTCAAAGGGAGATATTGGAGTTGTCTCCCACATCTCTTCCTTTCTTGTCTTATAGACAAGCAGGGCTAGTCTTGGCTGTATGGCCTCCAGTGGTCTCCGGGTAGTGAATCCTTTATGAAAGGCTTTAATGAGAAAAAATATAAAGAATAGAATGAGCACACTAATTCTGAGATAAAACCAAAAGTGAGCCTTGAAGTATACAAATGGATTTAATTGTTCTATGTCATCAGCAAACTTATCCCAATCTTTAATTTGGGTATCAAAGATAGCTGTCAGTTGTGACATGGATAGCACTAGTCTCTGAAGAGCATCTATATCCATAGTAATAATGTGATGAATTGCTCCTTGTATGTGCCTCTTGATGATTTCCCAAGGATGTAGGCTTTTGTAATATGGCAATAGAGTGATACAAAAACGTGGCATATTATAGTGACACTTTAAGCCTTGTTATAACTGTTAGCTTTTAATTTGATCTCCCATCCATAAGACTGAGGTCTCTAGAATGCTCACTTGGGTTTGTAACTTTATATCAATCTCTCTCTGAATGTTCCAGCTCTCATCAGCAGTTCTTGTCCAACTATCTACAAAGTGAGCAGTTTGTATTGAATGTGCTAATGCTGTGGAGCCAATAGCTGCACTGGCTATCAAAAGAACTAGGGAAGTAATCCCTGCAATAATCAACCCAAACATCCTCTTGGTTTGATGGTTAAATCTTTTGATTAAAGTTTCGACCAACAGAGCAGTAGGTGAGTGATACCAAGGCTCCATTAGATTGACTGGAAGCCAGTTCCAGGCATCCTGACCATGACTATTATCATGGAGTCCTTAGGAAGAAACTCATGCATGATACAATGTGTTAGATAGCAATTAGTACATAAGAATGTATTTTGTTGCCACTCTATCTTTCCTATCAAAAGTACACAAGGATCATAAACACATATGTTTACTTTTATATACCTATCACTCTGTAACATTACTTTTACTTTTCTTCCATCAGCTGACTATAGATGTCCAATCTGCAGCTGTCTTGAACAAAAAGGCAAGGCTAGCATCATAAAGTGTGCTGTATGGGCCCAGCTCTCCCGTTGATAATAAGTCTAGGAATAGGAGAATTGAGGCCTCTGCCTGACCATGTAATATTAAATAAGGCTTCTGAGGTCATTGTATTGTCATGAGAGCCTGAAAAGGAAATCTCATGCCAATCTTGACTTTTTTCCATAAGTAAACCTCTGGGTCACCAGTCTATAAAGGAATAATTGAATTTGTGTATAATCAGTCCGTGGTATGGATCTCTGAAAAATTGCTCAGGGCCCAAATCACCTTCTTTGAAATGAGGAGCACAAGCTACTGGAATACAGATAAGAATGTTAGGTTTGAACTCTCTAACAAGGTTACCATCTGAAGGAATAGAAGTCAAGGTCAATAAGGCAAAGTGTTCCTTTGACAGCTGTATCTTCCAACCCTGATTTACAGCAGACATACATGGGTTAGAGTCTTGCTGTGGTTGAGTTACACATAAGGGAGGATATATAAAATG